GTCTGTCTGCAGGAGATCATGTGTCTACAGGAGGTGCTGTCTGTCTGTAGGAGGTCCAGTGTCTGCAGGAGGTGCTGTCTGTCTGCAGGAGGTCCTGTGTCTGCAGGAGGCGCTGTCTGTCTGCAGGAGGTGCTGTCTGTCTGCAGGAGGTCCTGTGTCTGCAGGAGGTGCTGTCTGTCTGCAGGAGGTCCTGTGTCTGCAGGAGGTGCTGTCTGTCTGCAGGAGGCTCTTTCTGTCTGTCTGTTTGCAAGAGGTCCTGTCTGTCTGTCTGCTAGAGGTGCTGTCTGTCTGCAGGAGGACCTGTCTGTCTGTCTGCTAGAGGTGCTGTCTGTTTGCAGGAGGTCCTGTCTGTCTGTCTGTCTGCAGGAGGCTCTGTCTGTTTGCAGGAGGTCCTGCCTGTCTGTCTGCAGGAGGTCCTGTCTGTCTGCTAGAGGTGCTGTCTTTCTGTCTGTCTGCAGGAGGCTCTGTCTGTCTGTCTGCAGGAGGTCCTGTCTGTCTGCAGGAGGTTCTGTCTGTCTGCAGGAGGTGCTGTCTGTCTGCAGGAGGTTCTGTCTGTCTGTGTGCAGGAGGTCCTGTCTGTCTGTCTGCAGGAGGCTCTGTCTATCTGTCTGCAGGAGGTTCTGTCTGTTTGTCTGTCTGCAGGAGGTCCTGTCTGTCTGTCTGCAGGAGGTCCTGTCTGTCTGATGGGACTGGCTCGAGGCTTTTGCCATGTTTCTATTTCACAATAAATTCTGCCTTTTATCTAGTGAGGGTTATTTATCTATTTATTTGTTTATTCTTATTATAGCTTACATTTACCTGTATTCAGTTTAATTATGCAAAGATGATATTAAATTAGTGGGAAATAAAAGAAATATCTTTAAACGAAACGTGCATTATTTTGATTCCACACTCAATAATTTTAGTTTAAGATCAGTTCATGTTTGTTTTATTGTGTTAAAGAGACAAAGTGAAGTGTAAACAGCTGATGTTGTTTTTGTTTATGTTTTAAAAGAAACAGCTGGTGAAGAGGTTGGGTTGGATTTTTCCTTCAGCAGATCTTTGACTGAAAATTCAAGAATGGTCCACATGGGACATCTGGTGGCGGGAAAAAAACGAGCCCTCAGTTGGAGGTTAATTTTATTTAATTTTATTTAATTTTATTTTGTCAAGTCATATTTATTATAAAAGCACATTTAAAATCAGCAGCTGTTTCCAAAGTGATAAACAATAAAACGGCAGCAATTTAAATAAAAAATAAAAACAAAATTGTCACTCATATATTTTTGATTTTATAATCCCTCCAGCTGTGACCCATGCTAAAATAATAATAATAAAACACATTTAAACATTTAAAATCGGTCTTAAAAAAGCTCAAATCAGTCAAAGACAACTCACAGTAAAATGTTCTCAGTGACCTGTTAATTATCCATCAATCGATTAATTTAATTTGTAAAGCATCTTTTTGAGTTTAAAGCAAACCAAAGGGTTTTTTAAAGACTAAATGATTTAAATAAGAACAGACAAAACTGTAACAATAAAGAAAACAATAAAAAGTTCAAGCACCTTTGTTTTCTTTAGATCAGTCTTCAGAGCAGGAGGACGCTTCGGTTCCTCAGAGCTTTGAGTCTCAAGGTTCTGCTTCAGAATCTGGACTCGCTGATTCTGGGGCACTAAGCTTTAACTCTGGGGGGGTCAGGACTGGAAACCTGCAGAGTCCAGCTGTTGTACGGTTGATGTGTCGCAGCCTACAGAGCAGCAAGGAAGGAAACGGTTGCAAAAGAAGTTTTTGTTGTCGTGCTTCTTTGGTTTGCTGCACAAACATGACCCTGCAAGTTTATTTAAGGTGCAAGAGACAAAAACGTTCAAACAGAACCTGAAGGCTCCTTTTCCTCTGGGCAGAACGACATATTCATTTAAAGATAAAAAGTAAAACCGTTAGAGTTAAAACACTTTTCTTTCAACCTGATCAATCTGTTCTTGATCGCTCGCTGCCTCTGCTTTAGTTGGGTGTGGCGGCCATCTTGACCTGTGTGGGCTCCAAAAGGTCATCGGTTTTAAATTAAAGTTGCTTTACAGACTGTTTAGTGTTTAACTCTGTTAAAAAGTTATTTCAAACCAACAGCCAGTTTGTCAGTACATTAACTGCAGGCAGACACTTTCATCTTGTCTTACTCGCTGGTTTCTCGACTGCTTCCTTTGATGTTCTGTCACTTTTCCCGCAACAAAATCAAAGATTAGTAAAAAAAAATTCAAACAAATTTTTCTTGGCTTCAAAGTTGACCAACTGTCAGTCGGCACTAAATAAAGCACGCTGTGTTGTTTGTTAAAGTAAAATGGAAAGAGATAAAAAGTGACGAAGAGTGAAAGTTGTGATGTTTGCACATGACAACAGGTGGAAGAGAACTTGGAGAGGTGCAGGTATGCACTTGAAAGAAGAGGAATGAAAGTCAGCCGTAGTACGACAGAGCAGAGGTCACAAAGGTGCAGGACTTCAAGGACTTGGAGTCCACTGTCCAGGAAAATGGTGAGTGTGGTAAAGAGGTGAAGAAGCGAGTGATGGAGTGGATGGAGAGAAGTTTCAGGAGAGATTTGTGATAAAATGGTGTCAGCAAAGGTCAAAGGAAAAGTTTACAAGACAGTGGTGAGACCAGCTGTTCTCAGACTGTAGACAGAGACATGGACAAAAAGACAGAAGACAGAACTGGAAGTGGCAGAAATGAAGATGATGAGGTTCTCCAGGAGTGACAAGGATGGAGAAGAATGAGATCATCACAGGTACAGCACAGGTTGAGCAACTGGGAGATAAAGTTAGAGAGGACACACTGAGATGGTTTGGACATGTCCAGAGGAGGGACAGTGGTTTGGACATGTCCAGAGGAGGGACAGTGGGTATACTGGTAGAAGGATGTTATAAATGCAGCTGCCAGGAAAAAGACAAAGAGGAGATGTATGGATGCAGTTAGAGAGGACATGGAGGTAGATGGAGGAGGAGGATGACTCGCTGTGGAGACCTCTGAAGAAGGAAAAGCCATAATAATAATAATAATAATAATAATAATAATAATAATAATAATAATAAGTATTTTACTTTCAAATATCCTCTCGGGGGCCAGATAAGATGTTAACAAGGGGCCTTGAGTTTGTGGTCAGGTGGGTTATGAGATATTTTGCTAACAACGAGCACCTTGACATTGAATAATGAAGCAGCCTTTTATCCATTGTTTTTAATGTGTAATGTCAAGGCGCGACCACTAGAGGTCCTCCTGAAACAGGAAATTTGGACCGTCTGGGTCGCCCAAACTACAGTTCACTGTAGTTTGAGTCCATGACGTCACAGCTCCACGGAGCCGAGTGTAATATTTGTAGATGGGAACAAGGCAACCTGTTGTTCTGCTGGTTTAAACCAGCCCGAGCTGCTTGTTGAACCTGATCCATGCGGGTCAAACAGGACGAGTAGAGGTTTCGGTGACTTTACCCACGGGCTTCAAAAATAAATAAGAATAAATCAAGATTAGAGCGAGCAGGTTTTATTCAGGAGTTTGATCCAGTTTCAGCTCATTTCTCACGTGAGGAACTTTTTCCGGCTGATGGACTTTGGGCTCCTCTTGTTTGTCTCCTCCCAGCTGACTCTCCGCCTCGTGCGTGTGAGAGTGCAGCGGGGAGATAAACGCAGACGCTCTTGGGGTGTGCCCGCCTGCGCTTTCTCCACAGAAACATGACGCAGCGCAGACACGGCTCCAACTTCCACTCCGGGTGACATTTGTGATTCGTGGAGGCGTTTCTTTCTGCAGCTGCACACGCGCCGAGCGTGTTGCTCAACTTTGAGGAGCGCACGCACACGGACGAGGACGGCTCGGGCTGAGACGGAATGCGCGGATCTGGTGCCTCTTCCTGCCCGTCGTGTCCTGCATCGTGGTCGTGACTCGGTCCGATCCAAGTGTCCGCGGCCGTGTACACGCAGCATGACGCGGAGCTGCGTGGCTGCCTCGAACACACTGTTTACCTGCGTGGAAAAAACGGGCCAAGGTTGCGTGATCATGTGCGCGGAGGCTCCACGATGAGCGGCGGCGGTGCGTAACGCTGCCTCTGCACGGAGGACGAGCCGGGAATCAACGAGATGAATCCGGACCAGGACGGGATTTCCTTCCCGGTACCGAGCTTGGGTCCGGGCAGGGAGGCAGCTGGGAGCGGGGAACATTCCAGCAGCGGCGGCGCCGCCGGGATTCCAGCAGCCGGGACTTTCTGGCACGACCCGCTGGTTGTTCCGAGCAGCGGCGGGCTCAGCCCGACCCCCGAGGACGGCCCGGTGGACGGAGGGGGGCTGCTGTCCACCTGCAAGTCCGGTAAGAGCAGGCCGGTGACGGTGGCGTACGTGGTGAACGGCGAGCCGAGCCCGCAGAACAACGCAGAAAACATGGCCCTGCAGTGTCTGAAGGACGCGTGCGAGCGCGTGGGCAGCGAGATGGACACCGTCAACTTTGGCAGACTGGACTTTGGGGAAACTACCGTGCTGGACCGCTTTTACAACGCTGGTAAGTCAAGAGGCCTACATCCTGACCCTTTAACATGTCCCAAACTACGACCAGTCGTTCCTCAAACTACGACCAGTCGTTTTGACCAGTCAAACTACGACCAGTCCTTTTAAAAACCTCAAAATCCAACCTAAAGCACACCAAACTACCACCTGCCATTTAAATGTGCACCAAACTACGACCAGTCGTTTTGAACAGTCAAACTACGACCAGTCGTTTTGAACAGTCAAACT